TACCTTCTCCATATATCCCCATAAACTGTGTCTCTTGCCTTTTTACCTTGCCCTTTAACTAGAGTACACCTTGTGCCTTGTATAGCCTGAACATTATTGTAAAAACATATGATTGCTATGTTATATTGTCTTTACCATATATTGCTGGAAGAATGGGATAAGTAAAGTGATCGCTCTCCTATAGATTTTACCCTATATGTCGGTGTATCTGTCGGAACGACGTTAAGTTTATGTATAAGAGTTAAGAAATATTCATTAAGCTTATATTCCCCGAATAAATCTGACTTCCTTCATATTAGTTTGTCAGATATTAAATGTATTCTTTGTTTGCTAATCAAAATTACCAAATGTTTATTGGTATAAGTCAAGATTTTAGCGCTTATCTCTTATTAATATCTTTCCTAGTCGTTTTTACAGGTGGTTGATTTTATAAGAAAAACATTGTTCGTAGCCCTCCGGATAATGATGACAAAGAAGCAATATCGAATGCTCATATTTTACGAGTGTAAATTGGCCCACGATGATAAATCAATGAAATATTAGCTTGGCATTTGGTAGAAATCAAATATGAAAATAAGAGTCAGTATAGCAACGAAATTGGCTGTATGCATGAAAAAGAAAAAGCAAAAGGAAAAAGAAATAAAGTAGACAAGAGATTATCCAATGCTTTTCCATGATAATACACACAATCAAAATTCATGGTTGACTTTTCAAAAGATGCAATGCCTTGCGTATGAGATTTTGAGGCATTCACCTTATTCATAAAACAGATCTGCCATATAAACTCGGTGGAGTAATGAATAGCGGCTTGGATTGATGAATCGGAGAGCCGAGTTCGAAATCCACTCGAATCCATTACAGTGCTAATACCCTTAAGAAAGGTATGAATCCTCTTCGTCCCCCCCAGCTATGGCTAAATAGCAGGACAGACCTGCCTTGGATGGCAACTCGTCTACCGTAGAAAGAAATGGCAAACTACTGCGGGAAAAAAAATCTGCCTCGTCAGTCATGTATCAAAAGATATATAATCGCCTAAGCGTGTATCACGCATGGCACATAAATGACTGAGCTTTCCATACGCAATAAAACAACTCAAATACTGAAGAAGTTCTCGAAACATTTCAATAGCTTAAAGCGACGAAAAGTAGACATAGGAAGGACAAAAGCAAAAGTAGACTTAGGAAGGACAAAAGCAAAAGTAGACTTAGGAAGGACAAAATCAAAAGTAGACTTAAAAAGGAAAAAATTAAAAGTAGACTTAAGAAGGACAAAATCAAAAGTAGACATAGGACGAATTCCCTGTGGTTGTTCTTAATAATGTCAACCCAGGGTTATCTCCAATATTGGCTTGTCCTGGGTATGACGATCAACTACATCCAGCAGGAATGCCTTCGATCGGGAGATTTTAAGGAGTGTGGAACCACCTCTTAATTGCTAGTGTTCCCAGGTTCACCATGACCCGGGGTAGTAACACCTGTTAGGGTCTCAGCTATGGGCAAATAGTTAACCCTCAAACTGACTTCAAACACTATCAAAGTATTGCTGGTATTTTTAGAGTGAAAATACCAGCAATACATTTTTGAAAAAAAAATTACTAACAATCCATTTTGGTAAAAATATAAAATTTATCGTCAATACATTTTTGATAAAAAGCAAAAGATTTTTGTAAAGAAAATCATTAATGATTACAAGAAAATAAAATTTCGGCATTTCGGCATTAAATGACCCATAAGATGTTGATATGCCGCTAAAAAAAACGAACAAGCAAACAAACAGACCAATACTAGCAAAACTGTGTAACCACTGCCTGAAGGAGAGATGCTTCTCAGATCCATAGAACGTGACAACTGTGTGCCCTGTTTTTAAGAATACTAGTGAGCGTTCATGCCTGTCGCAAAATAGATTCATTAGCCTCCTTAATGTCATTAGCATTTCCTTCAAGTCTATAATCAACAAAGGGATTGTTGAACAACCTCCTGTGCGATAAGTATTTGAATTTCATGGCTGATGCTTTAACTGTCAGTACTTAGAGAATCGGCAATGCAATTGCCACTAAATTCCACATAAGGACCATTGCCCTAGATATATCAAAGGTCTTTGATAGTGTTCGGCATCGGAGTCTGCTACATAAACTCTCCAGCTATGGAATCTCTGGAAGGGATTCCTCAGTTATCTAGCCTTTTGTACATAACCTCATGAATTGCATTTTCTTACGATCATATAACACCACACTCTACCTTGAGTGCTTCTCGTGCCTTGTATTTGCGAATATAAGTATAAAAACACCGAGATTAATTTCAAGAGTTTTAAAGACCAGCAAATAAATCAACTGATATCCATGTTGGTGGGCTTGGCACAGTAGATCATTATCGTAGCATTCTCCCTGGCTTAAAAGAGTTTATGAAAGTTATACACTTGCTAATGCTTCAAAATGATTCCCGTTTTCTGGCTTTTAAATTGAAAATTACATTTGATCTGCAAATTTGGCGAAAGTCTACAGTTTTAGAAGCCGAGAAACATGAAAATCATGAAGCGTGGGAAATTTTAGCGGGTCACTTAAATGTTTGTGAATAAAATCAATATGTCGTATCAACATTATCCCAAGCCAGAATCAACATGGTTGTGTCGTTCCGTTTTGGAAAGTATTGACACAAGTTTCAACCGGAAGTGTGTCGTTGTCGCTCAATAAACGTCCGTTCCACCAAGGCACAGGGACAGACTGCAAGAACGATTAAAACCAAATGCTAATAAATCATCTATCAACAAATATAGACGCAGATAAGGACAGGCAGTAACAAACTCTTATAAAAGTGAATCTTATTCAATTGGTTAGAACAGATGCATACTCAAAGTTTAAAATAAAGTTCTGTTTTTGTAGTTAGATGTTATTAGAGGCGTTTGTTTTTAAATAGCTTTATATATATATATATATATATATATATATATATATATATATATATATATATAGAGAGAGAGAGAGAGAGAGAGAGAGATGTATAAAAATTAAAAAAATTATGTTCTTTTTATAGATACAAATATTTAAGTAAATGCTCTGTTTATAATAAACAGTATTAAATAACATTTTAACATTTACCGGTCTGAATGTCCGAGAAATGTTCATAGAAAATATGTGTCCTCCGACAGGAATCTTAAATTTCTTATTTATCAACTATAAAAATGTTTATTTTTAATGTAGAAAACTCACAAATAATATAATTTTCTAGCGTTTTGTTATATTACGACTTCATTTTCTCTTAGGAAATGACATTGTCTAATGTTCAATATGTATCTATTTATATCTACTCCTGTTTAACCCCTGTGACGGCCATGGATTTCATATCTACCGGTCATGACCCATTAATGAAAAATAATTTCTTAATTTTTCTTTCTTCACTTAGTTTATATTTAACGTACTTCATATTTGATTGGTTGATCTGAGTAACGCCCACAAACCTTATAAACACACCCTCAAGTCAGCATTTTGATTTTAAATCTGAGTTAATCGTTCACTCGCGAGTAATTTACAATCGGCTAATGAGATGCATTGATACGCATCGAAACACGACTGCAACTGTGTAGCAATTTTAACATGTTTTCGATGTAATAACCTCAAACAAAGTATATATATATATATATATATATATATATATATATATATATATATATAACATAATTAAAATAGCATTTATTAGGTTGGTGCAAAAATAATGACGTAATAATGTCGTTTTTTGACGTTAAAAAAATACGTCAAAAACATTATTACGTCATTATTTTGCACCAACCTAATACTAATGGCAGAAATATCTTAAGCAGATTTAATAACTAATCCACGAAATAATTAAATACCAACCCCTTCTGATAAATAATGAACTAATCCAACAACACTGACTAAATATTCAAAATATTATCTATAAAATAAAAGTAAGTAATCTGCTTCAAACTAGAAAATACAGCCATGATGAGGGTCGTCGACAACCAAAAGCGCTCGACATAACACCATGGACGAGGGCAGTTTTTCAACAACTATGACCCAAATATATATAAAAAAAAAAACTTACGAGAAAGCAACAAAAAACAGAAAAAAAAAAGATTATTAAAATGTAAAGTTCCGTATTCTTTAATAAAACAGACTGTAATATATATATATATATATATATATATATATATATATATATATATATATATATATATATATTTGGTTGGATTGATGTGAGTTTGTGACCCTGGGTTTCACGCTTTTTGCGATCGTCAGACAAACTCAAATATGTTAGCTCTATCTCTGATATTGAGCGCTTTTAATAAGTACTGCGCATATAATATATAAATAATTATATATATATATATTTATATTTATATACACACACTTTTCACACACACACACACACACACACACACACACACACACACACACACACACACATATATATATATATATATATATATATATATAAATTAATTGATTTAAAATATGTTTTTCGCTACACAGATGGTTAGAACTGTGTAGCGAAAAAAACATATTTTAAATCAATTAATTTATAATATTAATGCTCTGTAAATTTACATTGAGCACTATTTTGTAAAAATAAAAATATCTATAAGAACACCGGATTATATATCTTACTGTTCTTTCTTTTTATTTATATATATATATATATATATATATATATATATATATATATATATGTGTGTGTGTGTGTGTGTGTGTGTGTTTAAAAAGAGAGAAACCGCAAACGTTTTTGGTTATAATGTGGATTTTTAAAATATATATTACACTTTATTTTCCATATTTTTTGCTACACGTGTTTTTGGTCTGGCGACTTTCTTCAGGCAATGAGTAGATATTTCCACATATTATTAAAAGGAATTAATTTTCCTTATGTGTTTCGATGTCTAAACATTGTCTTTTTTGTGCAGTAATAAACCAAATGTTTCTTCTTGGACTGGTGGCGAAAGTCTCCTTCTGCTTAAGATGTCATAAAAAAAAAAATTAGTAGTCTTACAAAACTATCTAGGCGGCGAGAAAGAAAGTGTAGAGCATGATGGTAGAGAGAAAAAGACTCGGAGAGTAAAAAGCCGTAATAATGATGGCGCAGAGGAAAAAGATGGAGAGAATGAAATTGGAGGTAAAGAACAACGGCGAGAAAGAAGGTGGAGAGAAAAGAACACGGAGAGAAAGAATGGCGGTGGAAAGACAAAGACGGTGAGAAAGAAATTGGAGTATAAAAAGAAGATGAAGATAAATAAGGTGAGGAGAGATAAGGTGGAGAGAAAGCAGATAGTGAGGAAGAAGATGGAAAGACAAAAAAACGTAGAGAAAGAAGACGGTAGGGAGAAAATTGGAGAGATAAAAGATAATGGCATAGAATATGGAAAGAGAAAAAAAGAGTCTTTGGGGTTGAAAGTGCAGAGAAATCGGTGGAGAGAAAGAAGACAGTGAAAGAATTTGGGAACGAAGAAGAGCGAAAAAGACTTAAATCTAGTTAGAAAAAAAAATCAGGTTGGGTGAAGATAGCAGAGAAAGAAGACCATAAAATCAGGAAATGACCTTCTCGGGTGGACAAATATTTGACGATGGCAAGACGGTTGTTGCTGGGTGATTTGTGCAACTGAATAAAGTCTCTCAGTACAGCGTTGACCTTTCGCTAAGTTTCCATACATAACTGACGTCGGCCTTGATCCTCTCTACTGCCAAAGGCAGGTCTTTGGGAGAGAACAGGTGGTCAGTTAAGAGAATAAATAAGACCAGAGAGAGGGGATTAGAGGGCGAATTTATAGGGAGGAAATTATTAATAAGCGGAGTTAAATGACGCACATTATGCAGCCTTTTAGGAAAATGTAATGTTATCTAGTCTTCGATATTTGACAATGGAAAGACTAGACAGGGTGTCAACGAGTTTGGTAATTATAAAAGGCTTTACTACAGAACAATACACCTTTTGGAAAATATACAAGTACCATATTTAACAGACATACAATAAAATAGAGAATAAAAACGAGTTCAATATCTATCTATATCTCTGAGATGAGGTATTATGATTACTTGCATTATTTACATCATTCAGACTGTTATTCTCATCTTCATTTCAATAGTCACAATTTTTCGGCCGTTGTACGCTCCGGCCTTCTTCAGGTGATTGGATTTTTTTCTTCAATATCTGTGTATATCTCTTAGATGAGGTATTATAATTTTACTAATATTATGTATTGTTGGTAATTGCTGGTATTTTTACTATAATGTATTTTTATAGTTTCATATGGTTCTGTTTTAGTTTGGTGGGGGTCAGAATTTGCCCATAGCTGGGACCGTAGCAGGTGCTACCACCTCGGGTCACAGTAGACCTGGGAACAACAGCAATTAAGAGGTGTTTCCACTCTCCTCTAAACCTTGCAATCTCCAGATCCGAGGCCTTGTTGCCGGATGTAGGTTATCATCATATCCAGGAGTAAGTAGCTGTTATTGATCTTTACACTATTGATGGGGTTTCCTTCTTAACCATTTATTTGAAGTAGTGTGAAATATCAACATATTGATTATGTCACTGTTTTCTATTTGATTTACATGTTCTATTCATTTTATTATTGTTGCTGATATTGAAAGTCATCAAGAGGTGTGGTTTCTCTTATTGGCACAGTTCTTTGTTTGGGAATCTGAAACGCTATTCTATAAGGTTCAAAGAAGTGTTCCCTTCAGCAAGACTCATATTCTTCACTCGCTAAAAGCTATTTTTAACCATTGGCCATAGAAAGCGGTTGTCTACAGTCCAGAGCTTAGAAGATAACAATGGAGAGATGTAGTAATGATTTGGGCTCATATTTTAGGTGATAAAATATTAGGTTCTGTCAAAGTTCACCATGGTATCAAGATAAATGCAGAGAAATATTTTTATTACTTGAACAAGAGTCTTTTTTTACATATCATAACCAAGAAGCTTTAATAGTCTGATTAATGTAAATAATGTACATAATACCTCATCTCAGAAATATAGACAGATACTGAAGAAATTTTTTAAGTTAACAAGTATTATATATATATATATATATATATATATATATATATATATATATATATGTTGTAGCATACCTACTGACTATAATGGGTTATGTCCCCATTCGCATAAATACAGTAGTAAATACTGTATGGTGGTCTGTATTTGGAGATTTATAGTGAAATTCACTTGACTCACTTCTAGTAGATGATTACCAACCTTCGTTTGATTATTCTATTCAGTAATCTTCCCTAAGTTACAACATTAATGATGATTCGCCACAAGTAAAATATACAATACTTTTCCATAGAAAGCGGTTGTCTACAGCTGACAGCTACGATATTTCTTAATGGATTTGGGGCCATACATGACATCCATATAATAGTATTGATCCGATTATTTAACTCGAGTTTTCAGGTTAATGTTTCTGTTTTATACCAGTTGGATGAAACTAACCCTATTGCAGCCTATTTTATGTAACGTTTCATTATCTCTTATGTTGACGATGGAAAAATCAAGATTTTGCACAAATTTTCCATACAAAGTGATTAAAAAATAAATTTATCTTTTGTGTCATTTAATGGTTTACAAATTCATCTGTCAATTTGTTTCGAGGAAATCTGGGATTAATTTTAAAAGAGTCCGGGATGTGTTGATAATCAAATTATTTTATAGGGAAACCTACCTTAGTACCTATTTATAAATGTTTAATAGAGGTTAGGGCGTTTATTTTTTTGTAAAAGCTTTCTTAATGGATCGATTTTATTATAAAACCGCCTTATTTATTAATTTTTTTGTGACTCCTGGAAGAGAAAGAGTGAGAGAAAAGAGCGATATAGACATATAGAGGGAGTAAAAGAGAGAGAAATAGAAACTAAAAGGAAATTTAATGCTGAATCTTTCATTTACCATCATTTACTTTCATTTGGAATAAGCTATATATAGCCTGACACATATTGTAGAATTTGTGATTTCTCGGAGACACTTGGATGTACAAGTAGCAGCAATCAAAGATGTCGGCCCATCTGAAGACGGACACTTCACTATCCATTTCCGAATGTGTTTATCCGCCTTCTTTTCTTTGTTCATCTGCGAAAATTCATTCTCCTTTGCAAGAATGAATTAGATGAAATTGCTCATTTCTTTATTTCTTTCTGTTATCCATAGTACCCCTTAGAAATTGCCTTTTCTTCTACGTCTTTGCCAGCTTGAAATTGCATCGTGTATAGAAATGAGCGTAAGACAAAAAAAATCTACCATTGCTTCTTTATTTAACCTAAGGGAGCCGGAGACCCCTACGAGGGTCTATTATGGGTGGGCGTAATCTTAACAATAAACAGGGTGTCCCTAAAGTCAGGACACATAGGGAATCTCATTAACTATACTTTTTAACCACCACAGATTAAACATGGATTTATTTTCTGTTTTCTGATTATATCGAGTTTAATAACCGACTACTATTTTTATAGAGTATTTTAACGATTATATAAGGATTATATCAGGGTAATAAGATTCATATAGTTTATCGATTATAAGATTTATATAGTTTACCAATTATTGGGATTTATTATGTCTAAAGGGTCGAGTTTATTATAGGACTGCCTCGTTTATTAATTTCAAACCTTTCCACTCTAGAGGAGCTACAAACAGGAAGCAGCCATTATTATAGATAGTTAAACTTATATCTTGCACGTTTTATGAATGTATTGATTATTCCTACTGGCTACTAGCATTTGAAATACTAATATATTTTTTCTTAAAGAATTTTGATAGATAATCTAAGTTCTGTCATATCTATAGTCATTTACATTCAAAATTTAAAGAAATATTAAATATAAAATATTTGTTAATACTTATACAGGATGTCCCTAAAATCTGGACACAGGAATTCTCATTAACTATATTTGTTTTTACCTCCACAGATTAAACTTTTTTTTTTCGAAAGAAGTAAAAAATGGCTTCTTTTTCTGGAGTATGTTAAAGAAGGTGTACTCAATGAAAAACATTTATACAGCCCACTTGATTGAATGCATAAAGAGTGAATGTGCTAAAATTGACGGCAATGTGGAGTTATCGCATTGGGTTCATGTGAATCTTGCAAAGTGCATCAACCTTTTCATCAGGAAAATCATATTGTAGATGTTATTTGTTAATTCCAATTCAAGATGTCGTAGAAAAATTTAATTTCTTTAAAATATGCATTTTTGCCTAAGGTGTCTAAACTTTAGTAACTACAAGGACGCCTACAGAAGCCAGTCAGAAGAGCAAGAAGAAAGGACTAAACATTAATACAAAACCGAAAAATATTTTTGATTGTACAGGGTGTGTCCTAAAATCTTGACACATAGGATATCTCATTAACTATATTTTTTTACCTCCACATTAAACGTGGTTTTGTGAAAAGAAGTAAGAATTGACGTCCTTTTCTGAGGCATGCTAAAGGAGAAGGTGTACTCAATGAAAATCACAAATGCTACACATTTGGTTAAAAGCATAAGGGATGATATATGCTAAAATTGACGGCAATGTGGAGTTATTGCATGAATGTCACGTGAATCTTTCAAAACGCACCAATCTTTGCATCACAAATGGTGGAAATCATACTGAAGATGTTATTTGTCGATATTCCAATTCAATAAAATGCTGCTAAAAATTTCATTTCTTAAAAATATGCATATGTGGCCAGAATTTAGGGACAACCTGTATCATTTTTTCAGGGCTAGGTTATAACATTTTTAACCCTTTATACAAAGCGTACTGCCTATAAGCAATCTTTATAAATTAATATCATTTTTCTAGAAATATCACGAGGAAAGCGGGCTGGGAAAATTTGATACTCACAGAGCAGATTGAAGACAAGCAGGACAGAAGAAAACTCGATGACACTCTGTAGTAATTCAAGGAATTAAATTGTCACCATTTTTATATGTGTGATCGAAGATTTTGTTTTTATGTATTATTTGCTTTTATGTGCCGAGTACCATCAGGACATAGGCGATCATGGCCTTCCACCCCCTATCCCTTGTAGCAAAATAAGTTTTGTCCCTTTTCTACTTCCACCAGGCCATGTTCTGTCACCCACTTGCTTAAGCCTGCTAGGTATGTGTCATGGGTCGTTACCTATAACTACAGAATGAACTCTTCCTAATACAATGTATACTACGCCTCTCAAAAGAGAGGGTCAAATCGAGTCGAGCCGATAGTAGTTCACTCCAAACCAGACTGACAGTCATATTAACACCTTCCACATCTTGTATTATTATATTTTTGTGTAATATACCTTTGTTATTTCTACTCTTGTGTTCGTGTTGTTCTTCCTTGGTTCTAACCTGGACCATAACAGTTTGTCATGCGTTGCTTTCCCTTGTCACTCCTTCCCCCCTATTCGACCTGTGAGTATCAGATTCTCCAAGCCCTCCTTTTTCATTACATGTCCCAGAAATTTGAACTACCTCTTCCTGATGTTAAATATAAGCTTCCTCCTTGTTTG